CGAGGCCGAGTCCCGCGTACAGCAACTAGAAGGATGTGAACCTACGACATACAACTATCTACTGGGGCTTTGGGGGGAAAAAATGAATAAATAAAATCTTAAAAAAAAAAAAAAAACAAGAGCAAATCAAAGGTCCTTGGAGGCAGGGGCGTTGCGGGGGATGATCTCTCAAGGACCTTCTGCCTGGGGTTTAGGGTCCTTATTGTTTCTTCCTTCCCCTTTTCAGGCTGGATACAAACACTTTTTTGAGATGTTGGGGGAGTGGGTTCTTCCTCACCCTCAGGCCCATCTAGCTCCACTCCCTCCCTGCAGCTCCTCCCAGGGACCCTGTCTCAGCGATTTCTGGAGCTAGACTCTGCAGGTCCCTGGTGCCCGCCCTCCTGAGAACACGGGGTGGACAAGACCCCAGATTCCAGCCTTTACCCATAAAGGCTCCGGCCAGATGTTCGGAATTCAGAACCGTCTTGCGATTTTAGAAAGGTAATTCAGAATACATACACTATATTGGGGAACACCCTAGCTGGGTCTGAGCCACACCCACTCATCGGATACACTCAATCTTCAGAGAACCACAAGAATATCCACCCTAAGTGGGATCAATAAGGGCTGTAGAGCCTCATGCAGTTTAGGTCAGGTTTCGCAGACAAAACAATTAAGAAAAACCCCCACGGTTTTCAGAGCTTTTTGAATTTGGAATTGCGGCCCTGGGTTATGGATCCGTATTGGCACTGATGGCGCACAGTCGGTCCCGAGAAGGCCCGTGCCCTGGTCAGAGCACAGTGCACATCAGGCTGTGGCGTGGGTGGGCCTGCTATGTTTGTTAGAAGGGAGAACAGGGATATAAGGTTGTAAATCACTGGGGCAGGCCAAGAACATAGGCTTCGGAGGTCAGCAGACCTGACCGCTGTCATTTGTCATTTACTAACTGTGACTCAGGGCAAATTAACCTCCCTGAGTGACTTCCTCATCTACAAAAGGGGCATCAGAGTAGTATTGTTGCTGCTTTGAGGACTAAATGAGATGATATAAGTGGGAGGACCTATCCAAGGGTCTGACACAGAGCCAGGGTTCAGAAGAGAAGGGGAACTAAATTATTCTTTTATTTAGGACTACTGCACCTGCTAAGGTTTGTAATTCACTCTGTGAACTCCCAGATGGGGGCAAGACTCCAGATCCTTTTCTCCCTCTGGCCAGTCTCAGGGGAGGGTCTCATGCACTCCCAGATCCCCCACTACCACCCCCGTGCCCCGGCATTCTTGCCAAGATAAGGGAGAAAGCAGGCCAATTCCTAAAAAGGCTACTGGGCCTTTTGAGCTGTACACCCCCACCCCCACCTCCACCCCACCAAGAAGGAAAATCCCACAGACCTTCTGTCCTCATGTACCTGATCCCGGTTCTTCACCAGCTCAGAGCTCAGGCTGCTCAGGCTCATCTGGGTCTCTGTGATATTGTGGGAACACCTGGAGAGGACCCCAGCCAACTGTAAGGCAAAAAGGCAGACCCCCACGGGGTCCTCAGCTCGAGGCTCTGATGGGCAGCCTGGCCGGACCTCTGCCCCCCAGCTCTGCTCCTGACAGCACCCCCCTCCCAGCCTCACTCACAGTCCGCAGCTGGGACCGCAGCTCTGTGGCCCTCTTCAGTTCCTGGATTTCAGGCATCCCAGCCACGCTGCTGAACCTCAAGTGAAGGACAGAGAAAGGACACATATGGGGGATTAGGAGGCAGAGAGCTCCGTAACTGCCTGTTGGGCACAGCACATTAGGGACAGCCTTGCTGGCTATGGGATGTCTGGGGAGTTTCGTGGTTGGGAGAGAAGAACCAATTTGAAGAGGCCCCTTACTCACCAAAGTTGTGACCTGGCATGGCATTGCAAAGAATAAAGATTGCAGTGGATTGAAACAACTTGAATCTATGAAAACTCCTGAGTCCATGATGCAAGGCAGCTATTTATTTTCCTTACTAGGAAAATTTGTAACTAAAGGAAAAGAATAAAGTTCCTTTCCAGTAGAAACTGTATTTCTTGATAACCAAGAGCTTATTGATGAGGGACAAGCTGTATTTTATAGAATACTAGCCAGTAATGTGCCAGGACTTGGAATATTAGCATCCAGCTGCCTCCAGTGAAATTATTCATTTGGGCAGGGTGTTGAAATCAACAATGACTGACTAGGGCGCAGACACTTGTGTGGTGCCAAAGTAACACCCCACTGATTCTTTCACAGCGAAAATGCAACTGGACAATAGAGAATCAGGCTGTCCCCACCCAATGGTGAGTGGATATGAAGTGTTCCCAGCATTGTCTATGATGTATCTGGCCAAAAATGTTTCACTTGAATCCATCCATCCTTTAGAACTCTCAGTTTACAGGAAATGCCGGGAAAGGAGAACAAGGCAAACGACATCCAGAGGAAGCATGGATGAGTCCAGAAGGTGGGACAATGGGTGTTGTCCCTCCAAAAAGCCAGTGTCATGAATCGGGGGGTGGTCTGTCTAATTAAAATACACTTAAGGGACATAACAACCAGATACAAAGTGTGGTCTTGGATTGGATCCTGGTTTGGATGAAACCAGCTAGACAAGAGAATTTGGGAGATAACCAGGGAAATTTGGATACGGATGGGTACTAGATGAGATGTGTATTGACATGAGCGAGGAGAGCTCATTAGCTGAGAAAAGCAGGTCATACAACAGCCAGTATAGGAACATCTCATGTTGGTTAATATAGACACTTGGACACCTGTAGTAGAAAACTATCTAGAAGGATATATACTACAAGGAGCGACAACCTGTCTCTGAGTGGTAGGACATGGTATTTTTATTTCATTTTTGCTTGTCTGTATTTTCCAACTTACTACTATTAGCTTATACTGTTTTTATAACAATAACAATTAGGATAAAAGAATCCTGTGTGTTTTGGCTTGGGAATGGACGGGAGGGGAGGAAAGAGGAGTGGAGAGAATTAGGAATGAAGAGGAAGGCAGGGATGCCGCCTGCTTTGCTCACCATTATGTCTCCACATATAGTAAAGTGTTTAGCACAAATGATTGTTGAATGAATTATTGAACACACAAATGGATTTTAGGGCGTGGACTACTTGATGGCAGAAGAGGAAGAGGCTGAACCACTCCAGCTGGACCGGGGGTCAGCAGGGGTGGTTTGCGTCCCAGTCCCAGCTGCCACACTTATCACCTGCATGATCTTGGGTCAGCCACTTGCCCTCTGCAAGCCTCAGGTTCCTCATCTATGTAATGGGGAGATCAGTCTCCTTAGTGCTACCTAATAAGGTGTTCGTGGGGATCAAACGGGACCTCAGAAAAGAAGGGCTTGATTAGAGAACACATTTATATGAACAGTTTTTGGTGGTGGGATGGGGGAAGCACTGGGGTTCCCTGAGCCAGTCCTGGCTGCCTGAACAGGGCCTTTGGAGGGCAGCAGCTGCTGAGGAGGACCAGGAGCTTCGGGACAAAGGCAAGGACATTCTACCAAGGGATCCCGCCCTGGGGAGCCTGAGGCAGGGGGAGTGCACTGCGGGAGAGGCAGGTAGCCAGGCTCGGCACTGGTGGCCGCTTGGTGCCGGCTGCTTGGGGGCCTCCAGACACGAAATTCAGTTCATTAAAATATCTCAGATGCCATTGTGGGGGAGGAGCTAGCAGCTTTAGACCTTAGAAAGATCTGCAGGTCTGAGGACGTTCAGAAAAGAATGGGATTGCCAAGCATTGGAGCTGGGAGGCCTCAGAGATCATCCAATCCTCTCATTTTGAAAATGAGAAAGTAGAGGCTCAGGTAGGGAAAGGTGACAGTGGCCTGCAGTCAACAGTGAGCTAGCGAAGAGCTTGGTCCTGGCTCTCTGACTCTTTGCTCAGTGCTCTTTCTGTTCTCCATTCTCCTCCTTAGTGGAAGGCTGAAACGTGCTTCAAAGCAGGCGTTCACCTGACCCTGAGCTCTCCAGACACCCAGAGGAGGTCTTGGAGCCAGGATGGGATAGACAGTGGCCAGCAGAGGCCAGGACTCCAGACCTGGGGCCAGCCTGTCACTCCTGCATACACATCCGTCCAGGGCAAGTGGCCAACCCCCCCAAATGCTTTCTCTACACATTTCTTTCCTGCTCAAGTACCTACAGTAGATCCCTACTGGTCATTTTATTGGGGTCTAACCTCGCAACTGGACCCTCCAGGACCTCCGTGCATTCTCCCCTTGCTTCTCCTTCATACCTCTCCAACTTCACTCTGGGATATTTTCCATCATGTGGCTTCAACAAACCTCACCAGCACCTCCCCATCTCCCTGATCACAGCCCCCATCTCTGTCTCTGCATAGGACCTTCCCACCTGAGGTATTCTCTCACATTCTGGCCTTAAATGCTGCACGTCTTGGAGCGGGCCTGGGGGCATAGCAGTTAAGCTCCTGCACTCCGCTCCGGCGGCCCGGGGTTTGTGGGTTCGGATCCCGGGCACGTACCAACACACCACTTCTCAGGCCATGCTGTGGCAGCATCCCATATAAAGCAGAGGAAGATGGGCATGGATGTTAGCTCAGGGCTAATCTTCCTCACCAAAAAAAAAAAAAAAAAGCCTGACATCTTTCAGGAAGACCACTGTGCTTGCCTCCACCCATCTCTAGTCTTCCTTCACCCAACCATCCTGTCGCCTGCACATGCCTGGGAAGGGCCATCTCCCCCAGGGGAGCATGAGCCTCTCCCATGCCTGGTGCCACATCGGTCCCTGGAACCTCTTTCTGTGCCCTGGAGGGAGCTCTGCTCAGAGGAGCAGTACTCCTGACTCTGCCGCCCCTCGTCTCTGTCACCATCTGACCTCCATCCCCGTCATCTGGAGATACTCCTCTTCCTCCTCCCCGCCCCGTCACCATCCCATCCGCCCATCCTCAGCATTGCTGCACGAAGCCCCATGAGGAAGGCAAGATTGCAGGGAGTCAGCAGCTGCTCGGAAACTGCCGGCACCTTCCTGAGGACAAGGGCCGGGGGACCTGAGGTCGGGGGACATCAGGCATGTTTGTCAGTCTCCGCTCCTCTGTCACCACCTGTCTCCTCCTACTGGGAAAGGCTCCAGCCACCATCAGCTTCCCTTGACCGCAGAGCCCCCATCTCCCACCTGTACCATGGCCACGTGCCTTCCAAGATTTGGGGGCCTGTGCCCTCTTCTCAGTAGCGCTCTGGCCAATGCAGTCTCCCCTGCATCTCATCTCCAGACCCTCCAGCTTGGTTTCCTCCTCCCAGTCTCTCCCTGTTTCCAATCTATCATCCCTAATTAGCCCATGTCAGAGGAGGGAGGGCATGGAGTTCCAAGGGTTGGGGCAAGGAATCCTAAGAAGTGAAGACAGTTGAAGACTCAGAGGAAGCAAGAGAAGGAGCGTGGGGGATGAGACCGCCTGGATCCCCATTGTGTGCTCCAGGGGTCCGTGAGTGGGTGTGAGTGCTTCTCCTAGAGTCCTGCTCCAGGGCCCAGTGCGGGATGAGCAGTCTGAATCTTCAGAGAGGGGTCTGGGAGGACAGAGGCCCCTTCCTGGGGCAGGCAGGCTGCCTTGGCCCCTGGAGAAGCAGTGTCCCCACATGCGCCTTCCCCAGAGGTGAGGGACGGGGGGTGCGTGGTATGTGCAGCATCTGGCAGTGTGGGGGATGAGGGACAGGGTGGGAGTACCTTCCCTATTCCACTATGGCAGGGAAGTCAGGGCACTGTTGGAAATATCGGGGCGAGGAACAGAGAGAGAGAGAGAAGGGCTGAGGGGGCTGAGCTGACCTCACACCTGCTGCAGCCCCCGCCTGGGGCAGGACACCCACCTCTCGGTGCCCAGGCTGCTGCTGAGGAAGAGGAGGGCCATCCTCGTGACCTCCAGTGTCCGCCTGCATGTGGCCTGGAGAGTCTCCCTGCAGAGGGGAGCCTGAGTCAGAGCCGCCTTCCTCCAGGGGCCCCACGGCAGAGTGGACGAGGTCTGGGTCACCTGTCCTGCCTGCCCGCCTGGCCCTCCCCACCCAGCCCTCAGGGTACTCACACAAACCAGTGCAGCCCCCGAAGCATCAGTTCCTGCCCAGCCAGCAGGACCCGCGCCAGCCGCAGGGCCTGATAGCTGGCTCCCAACACGCCCTGAAACACACAGGTGGGCACGGTCAGGTCCTGCACCCCCGACCTCTGTGTGCACCCCCTCCCAGCCACCTGGGGCTACCCCTCACCTTGGCCGTATTGTAATCTGCCTGCAGGTCCACTTTGGGGACGAACTTGGGGATGTCCAGAGCCGCTGCAGATAAAGACCCTGTCTGAGGGGGCTGCCTACATGGCCCTGGATGGGCTCTGAGCTCATCTTTCCTATTCCCAGCTCACACTCACGCCTCACCACCTGTCTTCCGCCTCAAGCTTCCCAACCTGCCTGGAGCCCCCAGCCTCAAGCCTTAGAGGCACTTGCTGTGTTCTGAGCCACCGCAGCCCCTCACCGCCCCCTTGTGTCCACTTTGGAGAACGACAGCCTCATGCAGAACATAACAGCCCCAGCTCAAGAGCCAGAAAATGGGCTAAAACGACTCTTCCACCCACGGTTTCATTGTGGATTCCCCTTCCCAGCCTTGGAGACCCTGAGAAGGAGGATGGAATGGCATCATCAAGTGAGAAAGAATGATAGTTTTTCTAGAACGTGGAGGACGAAGCTCTGGACCCCTGACCACCTCCCCTTCTCTCCAGCCGACTGGGCCCCTGCTTCTTCCAACTCAACCTCTCTGAGGCTTCCCCACCAATCACAGAGACTGTGGAGAGCATAAATCCAGCTCTCCCTGTTTCCACGGGAGCTCCTTTCACAGCTCTGTGGATGCTGTGAAGCCCAGGGAGGTCAAGCCACCAGCCTGAGTCACATGGCAGGTCAGAGGCATATGCAAAAGTAGAGCCCAGATCTGCCTTCTGCACCCTGTGGGCCCAAAAGACACCCACAAAGAAAATTAATCAATATCTGGATGGCAAACCCATGCCTCTTAGAGAAGAATATGAGGAGAGAAGATCCAGCCTGTGTGGCCCTACTTACGGTCCCTGAAGGCCAGCCCCTTGGGGGTCTCACTGGCCATGCTGAACAGGGTCAGGGGGCTGCTCGCTGTCGTGTGGGCGATGTGCTGTGCTGAGAGGTTGGGCTCAAGGACACAGAGGTGACCCTCGAAGAGGTACTCCTGGTGCTGTGGGGCCACGTTGGTCTGCTCATACACGGCCTCCAGAAAGATGGCTATCCTAGACACACCAGGGGTAGAGGGAAGGAGGGGGAGGGCAGGAAGTGTCAGCAGGCAGGATATGGGGTCGGCGCACCCAAAGCCCAGCTAAGACTTCATCCGTGGAGAGGGTTCAGCTTTCCAGAGGGAGGGGCTGTGTGATTTTCTCTCTTATCAAGGGTGGAGAGACACAGGGTAGAGCTCACATCTTGTAGTGGATGGAGACAGAGTGAGAACAGAACCCAGGAGTCCCCATATCCAGCCTCTGCCTTTGCACCTCTTCTTGTCACATTCCCATTAAAATGCACCTAGTCCCATAAAAGTCTCCAGGAATAAAGTGTTCTATGAGCAATAAATTTGGGAAATGCACAGGCAACACACACACACCCCCCTCAGGAGATTTATAATGCATGCTAGCGTTGTCAAGTTTGCTGAATCTCTGAAGTCCAGCAGCAAAGAAGCCCATTTAACTTTAACTTTGTGGAATTAGTATTTTTCCAAACTAAGATTGGACCCAGAAGCTTCCATATCTAAACACCCCACAGAAGGCTGTCTAGGACACGCCCTTCTGCTGGGGTGGAGAAGGGTCTTATGCCTCTGTCACTCGTGCCCACTTACGTGTTATGGGCGTGGATGTAGATGCGGTGCAGGACTGCCTGGGACAGGGAGAAGACATGGACAACGGCTCGCTGCAGGATGTCACTGGTCTCCGCAAAGAACTGGTCGAAGCCCCAGCACTTGGCCTGCTCCACCTCCAGGATGTTGGCCAGGATGGGCACCAGCTGGCTCTGCAGCCCCCTGCCCCCAGGGCATGGAGACTGTCAGGGGCCGGGGCCCAGACTCAGCCTCCTTGAGTGGGTAATAGGGGCATTCCCTGAGAACATCCTGAAGAGCTAAGACAAAGGGGGTGGGTGGGGTGGGATGAGGAGGAATGGCTAGCAAGGTCTTCCAGCATCCAGATGGAACACCTGAGGCCAGAAAGGGAAAGTGGTAGACCTGAGCCCACTACATGTAGGAGGTCCCACGGGAACACGCCTCAGAGGTAAGTCTTAACTCTCAGCAGAGAGAAGGACAACAGCCCAGACTCAGGTCCATGTCTGCCCACTCACACTGACAGCTGGCAGGTGATGGGCAGGGTGTAGCTCCACTCCAGGGGCCCATTCTCCCGCCTCTGGGTGCCTGCAATGGCCCCAGCTGGCTTCTCTGTGGTGATCCGGTACCTGGGGTGAGGCAGGACCACGTCGTCAGGACCCCAGCCCACCACACTTCAAGGGATGACAAACTCAGCCTGGAGGGCTCAGAGTGCTGGTGCCAGTCACCCAGCCGCTCCGAGGTGGCCTGAAAAATGGAATCTGAGAGTCCTGGCTCTCAGCCAACAAGATCACCTTGCCTTTGTGCTCCCGGGTGAAGCTCTCTGCTCCTTCCCACTGTCCATTTCCTCTACCCACTTACCTCACATCCACAGCCGGCCTGCCTCCACACCTCTGCCCACGCTGTGCTTGGCCCGAGGAGCCTCCCCTCCCTTCACTATTCGGAGCCTCCCCTCCTTTCAAAGCCCAGCCTTCCCTGACAGCCCCGGGCCATGTCTGTCTCCTGCCCCTTTCTGGAACCTAATGCAGGTTCCACAAGGCTTGGCCCCTGAGCTGAGGGTGGGGCTTCGACCTTCCTGCAAATTTACCCTAAATCTCTCTTGCTCTGAGTGGTGCACTCAGGGGAGCAGCCACTATCTCCAGCTACTTCTGTGTCAGACAGCAGGAACCTGGAAGGACCTGGGACTTGGGATCTGGAGGCTGGGTTCCTGCCCCACCTTTGCCCCCGGCAGGCTCTGCAACCTTGGGCAAGTCTATTTTGGAGGCTCAGTTGAGATGTGGTGAGCCACCAATGGAGGGAGGGCTAACGTGAAGCACTGAACTAAGATAATGGATCATGATCAGTCTCCCATCAGCCAGGGGTACAGTTCAGCTTCTTGTTTGATTGACTGAAACCACGGATCTAAAAGGACTCTGTGTGGGGGGTGGACCAGAGGAGGACCACAGAGTTAGAGGAGGAATAGGAGACACAGCAGGGACCAGCGGGGGAGGCCCAGAGCCTGTCCCCCCTCATACCCTGCCCTGTGGCCCACCGTACATGATCTCCTTGTTGCGCCGTGGCCCACCAAAGGGGACAAAGGGCAGGCTGCCGGTGGCTGCATGGTACAGGGTCACCCCAATGCTCCAGAGATCCACAGTCACCCCGAATGTCTTCTGCTGGGGCTTGCGAAGCACCGCCCGCTCATACATGTCAGGGTGCTGCCAGAGAGAGAACCAGAGAGCAGCCATGGAGGGGGAGGGTGGGCAAGGGCCTGCCCCCACCCATCAGACCCCCTTCCACTGCCTTCTGGTGAAAACAGAATCATCAGAATGCATTTCCCTTGTCATCTCAAAAGTGGGTGTGGCATTTGCTTATTCAGAGCATTTCCATCTGCCCAGCCTCTGCCCTGGGGAAGGTGGTGACCAGTGATGTTCCATCCTCCATGAGGATCAGATCAACGAGTTAACTGCACAAGGGAGGCCCGGGCAGGGAGGCCAGGGCAGGGAGGCCCGTGCAGAGGGCCCAGGCAGGCTGCCACATGGCCGTTCCACCTTAGGGAACAGAAGGCATTCTCCTGGTTGGGACGTAGAGGGTCAGATATAACCCTGCCGGACACAGGGGGATTGGACAGAGCACCTCTGAGGAGCACTGAGAAAGTCACAGGTGAGGGGACTAGCTGCAGGGGTGGCTCTCAGCTTGGACAGTGGGTCCCCAGCACCCCACTCACCAGGTACTCCTCAGTCCCATAGACCGAGACGAACTTCTCGTCGTCATCCAGCTCACGGGCGGCCCCGAAGTCTGTGAGCTTGTAGATGCTCTGCCCCTCCTCCCCCAGGAGGCGCATGATATTCCCGGGCTTGATGTCGCGGTGCACAATGCCGTTCTCCCGCAGGTGGTTCATGCCGGCCACTGGGGCAGAGGGAGGGCAGCTAGTGGCCTGGCCAGGAACAGCCCAGTGTGCAGGGCTCATCTTGGGGGAAGGCTGTCCCTGAGTCCACATAGACAGAGTCCCCACGGGCTGACAGGGCCACAGGGAAAGCAGAACAAAAGTGGGCACAGGGCCATGGAGGGGCCAAGACAGGAGGTATCAAGGTTCCATCAGGGTTCTCGAGAAACCCTGAGGATGGCACTCGGCCCTCATCTTTTTTATTTTTTAAAATTGTGGTAAAATATACCTAACATAAAATTTACCATCTTAACCATTTTTAAGTGTACAGTTCAGTGGCATTAATACATTCACATTGTCGTGCAGCCATCACCACCAGCCAGCTCGAGCTTTGTCAACTTCCGTGACAGAAACTCTGTACCTAATAAACAATCACTCCCCGTCTCCCTCTCTCAGCCCCCACACCCATCGCCCTCCTTGCTGTCTCTGCGGATTTGCCTGCTCTAGGTCCCTCATATCGGTGGAATCAGACAGTATTGGTCCTTGTGTGCCTGGCTTATGTCACTTGGCATAATGTCTTCCAGGTTCATACATGTTGTAGCATGTGTCAGAATTTCCTCCTTTTTTTGAGGCTGAATACTACTCCATTATATGTATAGACCATGTTCTGTTTATCCATTCATTTGTCCGTGACACTTGGGTTGTTTTCACCTTATATAAGGCTATTGTGAATAGTGCTGCAGTGAACATGGGTGTACACCATATTTAAAATTTTAAATTGGAGTTTTAAACTAAAGATTATCAGGACTAGCAGGAATCAGACACTGCCCCAGGTCTGGACTGGACAGCCTCTCAGGTTCCGAATGTTCTTCTGTGCTTGGATACTTGTTTCAGAAATGCCACCCCACTCTGAGACTCTGCCTCCCGCTGACGGCCGGGCCTGTGGCCGGTCTGAGATGGGGAGGGGCTCCCCGGTGGAGTCAGGGAGGGGCTCACCCACACAACGCAGCACCACCAGGAACTCATCCTCAGGCAGCCCGAAGGCGTTCTCAGGGCTCTCGAGCACGCTCAGCAGGCTCCCACTGGAGCAGTATTCCATCACCAGTACCTTCTGCCGGCTGCCCCCCTGTGGGTGCCACAGAGAGAGGTTTGGGGAGAAAGGCACTTCCCCTCCTCTTCCTCAAGAAGGAGTCGCTCAGACTAGAGGAAAAAGCCCCTATTCTCCAGGTCCCAGCTTCTGGCCGGGCCTTCGCTCCTTGGCGCCTCACACTGATCCCACACACCTGAGCCAAAAGTCACCTCTTCCATGAAGCCCTCTTGGATTAGGCCCTACTTCCTGTCCTGACTGTCCCAGGACGCCTCCCCCCCACGCCCTCCTCAGGCATTCTTTACTCCACTCTATAGTGTGCTGTTCTGGCTAACCTGCTGATGAGCATATGACCAAGTCTCTATTCTTATGGGACCTGACTCTTCCCAGCCTGTGAGGGTCGAGGACAAGACCATTCTCCTCTGCCCAAGCACTGGACCCACCGTCTCCTCCACTGCAAAGAGCTTGACGATGTTCTGGTGGTTCAGCTTCCGCAGGACCTCAAACTCCCTCACCTGCACCTCGCGGGGTCGCAGGTAGCTGGCGGTGTTGAAGACCTTCACAGCAACCAGCTCCCCGGATTTCTGCCACGGGGGATAATACAAGTCCCACCCTTGCCCTGGGGAGCTCCCCCACTCCCAGGCCTCTGCTCAGCCTCTCCCCCCAGCCTAACACAGAGATGAGCAAAGACAGCCTGTTTGGGGATGGGGGCTCCCCCCTCAGCTCCTGCCCCTACTCAGAGGGTACACAGCTGGTCTAGCACTGGGAGGTGACGAGGGCTTGGCACACCTGATACCCTGTAGGGGATGGTTTGCTGTTACTATTACTATTGACAGTAACGACAATGGCAGCTAACCCTCCCTGGTGCTGGCAGCAGAGCTGGGATTGGAACCCGTCTGGCTGGCTGCAGCTCTTAAGTACAAGATAACACAGGAGGTCTCATACATTCGATACGGCTCTGCAGTAAGAATCAAGGCAGGATAAAGCTCAAGCCCTCCTCTCGCCTCTGCTATTCCTAGATGTGCTGCCACCTCCCCTGGATGCCGGCTTCGTGTATCCATCTCTTTCTCTCTAGTTCCAAACGTGCCTGACAGAAGCCTCACCCCAAGGAGCCCTTTTCAGCTCCCACACCTCTGCTCAAACCCATAGTGCCCCGCCCCCCCGGAGTGTGCAGGACAGAGCGCCGAGGCTTCTGTGCAGCCACACACCACCCTCGACGCCCACTGGGGACTGACTGGGTTAAGCACTTGTAGGCGTGGGGGGCCAGGGCCACACCCCACCTTGTTTCGGGCCTTGTACACACTGGCGGTGGCCCCCTGCCCCAGCAGGTCGTCCGTGTGCCACAGGTAATTGATGGTGCTCTGCATCTCCTGCCCCCGGCTGGCCGGCCACCTTCTGCCTAGAAGAAGAACATACTGGGGTCCAGGATTCCATCCCTGACTTGGGGTGGACACTGGTGGCCTGATGGGTAGCTGTGCCCAAGACCATCCCATGAAGGGCTCCATGTGGCCATTCCAGAGGCAAGGGGGTAGGGGAAATGTGAAGTGCAGAAAGGTTAAGTAACTTCCCCAAAAAGAAGCACAGCCAGGGGGCCCTCAGCCCGCAGCCTGCACCTCTCCCACCACAGGACAGTCTACCTGTCCTCACGCCCTCGGTCCCTGCCTCCCCCCTCCCCAGACAGCCCATTCTGCAGAGACAAACCCTTTTCTCTGTCACTTCTCCCAGGCACTGAGAATTCTGAGTTTTTGGCTTCCAAGCCTGGGATTGTCCCAGGAAGCAGAAATAGTGCTTGGAGGAAGGGCCCCAGGTCAGGCAGCGTCAACCACACCACCACAAATATCCAGGATTGCAACATGAGCCTGGAGCCCCTCCCCATCCACTCGCCGCCGGCCCACCACTTCCTGCTGCTGTGAGCTGACAGCTGCGCAGCCAGCGCGGCCAGGTCAGTGCTGCTCGGGAGGGGAACAGTGCTGCTGCAGAGCTCCTGCGTGTGTGCGTGCGTGCGTGCGTGCATGCGTGTGTGTGTGTGTGTGTAGGGGTTGGGGGAGGCAGGAGACCATGAAATCCAAGGGCTTAGGAGCCCCGGGGAGGATCTGAAGCCCCTCTACAACTCCATTCCCTGTCTTTGCATCCATCCTCCTCAAAGGCCAGCTCCTCTAAGGCAGTGGGCTCCAGAGAGCGTATCCTCAGAAGATAGACCCAATACTTCTCTGAAAAATAGGGCCAGGGCAAGTCTTTACGGGATGACTGGGAGGAGCACAAGATGGGCCAGCACCCCTTAAATACCCTCAAGAAAGGCTAGGCTAGATAGGGCTTCTTCCTCTTCTAACATCTCCTGGGTTCTCAACCCCACAGTCCCCAGGCCTGGAATCCTCCAGTTCCTTAGCTTTGAGCCTTCTCTCTGTAAACTTTTTTAAAAGTGCAATCTTGAGAATGTCAATTCCTTGAGCCAGAGGCCACTTCAAGATATCAGTGGTCGGTGCCAGCCCCATGGCATAGAGGTTAAGTGTGCGCGCTCTGCTGCTGGCGGCCCGGGTTCGGATCCCGGGGGCGCACCGAGGCACTGCTTGTCAGGCCGTGCTGTGGCGACCTCCCATATAAAGTGTAGGAAGATGGGCAGAGATGTTAGCCCAGGGGCAGTATTCCCCAGCAAAAAGAGGAGGATTGGCATGGATGTTAGCTCAGGGCTGATCTTCCTTACACACACACACAAAAGATATCAGTGTTCAATTCCTAGTTTTAGAAAGTGTATTATTAGTGTTTGCGTTTTACAGAAGCAGCTGAGGTCCTGAGAGCCTCTGAAGACTGTAATAGCTCAGTGTGAATGAGTTGGTCAGGTCTTCCCCTGAGACTGAGGAGGAATCAGCCAGCGGGCCTGGGGTATGAGGCAGGGCAGAGCACACTGAATCCAAGGCCAAGGGCCCAGCCCAGGGAGCTAGCTGGTGGGCAGCAGATTTCACTATCTTCAAAACACTCCCCAGGGCTGGTTCTCAACACAGGCCCTGGTGCTGGGGCAAGGCACAGCTGAAGACCCGGGGAATGGGCAGTGTGGTGCAAAGGGCAGAGCCCTAGACTGTGGCACTCCCTGGGTTCTGCCTCTGGCCCTACCAGGGCTGTGCCTGGATCTGATTGGTGGCAACTCTGGTCAGCTCTGCAGCCCCAGCACAGTGCCTGGTGCACCAAAAAGGGCTCACCGTCCTTCAACGGCAGTTGGATGAATGAGGGCCTGTGAGCCAGCAGCCCCACCCACGGCCTCCTCTCCCTCTCCCTCGTCGTTGTCGTCCTCCTCCGCGTCCTTGGGGCTCCACTGTGACCACAACCACTTACCTCTCACTCCAAGCAGCCCGGGATCAGGCAAAGACTCTCTCTGACAAGTGTGTGTTATGCTCTCTGTCTGCGGCAAGTCCAGGAGCTGAGCTACACCGGAAAGAGGAGGGCGGATGAGAGGCCCCCCTCGGTGCTGTTCATTCTCTGTCTCCATCAAAGGCCACCGGCCCCAGCCCTTTAACCCTTTCCTGTTTGTCACCCTCCCCCACAGGGCTGGGGGTTTCCAGCCTGATTCCCCAGCTGCTCCAGGAGACTTTCCTCACCACTTCCACTGCCAGGACTTGGGCCTGGGAGAAGGACCCAGGAGAGGGGAGGGCAGGCACCAGAAGACAGGCAGGAGAAAAGTACAGAGGCGGACGCTGAATGCTGGCTTCGGGTGTTGGGAAGCAGAGCCAGGAGGGGAGCGTGATAGGCAGATGGCAGCTCTGCTCTATGCACGGCCCTCGCTACCTCTCACTGGCCTCCAAGCAGTGCTTTGCAAGGGTGCCCACTGGAGATGGAACACAGGGCACCTGGGGGGCGGGTGGTGGGCAGCAGCCGGAGAGAGACACAGGGAGGGGACATGGGGCTGGGAGAGCCACTGCCCACATGCCTGCACACCCAGCACTCTGCTGTCCCACGTCGGGCTCCCCAATTCCACCCTCCCCCCGAACTCCGCACACTCACCCCATCTCGGCTGTGGGGCATGCAGGCTTGTGGGACTGGGTGGCACCCCCAGAGCTTTCAGGGCTTGCTGTCATTCATGGGCAGTGCCCATAGCATCCTGGTGGCCACGGGCCCCGGGGACCCGAAGACTGGGCGAGCTGAAGTGGCTGTGTGCCACCCCGGGAACTGGGAGAGCTGGGAGCCGAGGGTTTCCTCTCTGCCTCCCAGCGGCCAGCCGGACACTCAGCACTCAGCGCACTCCCGCCGGCGCTCAGCCCTCTCACACTTCCTGATTTCGTTCTTTCTCTCTCTCTCTCTTAAAGAGACAGAGGCAGCCGGGCTGCCACTGCCACCCCAGAAGGAGGGAGAAAGAGGATGCTCTGAGTTCCCAAGTGGAGGTGATGGGACCAGAGTCTGAGCCACAAAAAGGCCAAGAACTGAGGCTGGATGGCTGTGATGGGCCACTCACGGGGTGCTCTTGCAGCATCTGGAGCAGGGAAGTTCAGGCCTCAGTCAACAGAGCAGGTCGGGCAAGTTAACCAAGCGGGAAGCTGCCTGGGAAGACGGAGTTCCCACACCCAGGAGCCCCAGGGAGGTCCAGGACCTATGCCCAGCCACTCCTAGAAGAAGTTGGGTCTGACTCATCTTCCCAGGGAGCCCACAGAGGCCGGAGAGCAAGCACTGGAACCCAGGTTATGCCCTCCAGTGTGACTTTGAGCACAGCACACAACCCCTCTGGGGCAGTTTTCTCATCCAAGGCGTGAGGATAGTAACATTTGCTCCATTGGTTGCGCAGATGACGTGGAACAACGTATTTGGAAATGCTTGAGAAATGGGAAAGCCCTTTACAGATAGGCATTGGAAGCACTGAGGCTCACACACCTTCAGTAATTTGCCGGTGATCTTCAGAGACTGCTGCGGCTGGAGCCCAAGGTATGCCGACCACTCAGTCAGGACTCAGGCCCCAAATAAAATTTCCTAGGAGGCTGGTGAGGTCTGCCCCGCTTTGGTCAGCTCCGAGATGGCAGTTGGATCAGAAATGGTTAAAACCAGGAAATTCCATGTTTCTATAGAATGTTGGAGGGACTTTCCCATGGCCACACCTGGTGGTTTCCTCTGCCAGCCCCACCCCTAGCACAGGGACACCAGAAGAGAGCCCAGCTGAGACCTGCCTGGTGCTCACATAGATACGCCTGCTGATAACTCCACAGCCGGAGGCCCTGCCCAGAGGTGCTGCCCTGCTGGTCCTCATAGCAGCACCTGGGAGAAATGTCCCTGAGACCCTCCTGCTCTTCATGGGGGGTTCCCAGTTCTCCACCTGTCTGGCATATGGTAGAATTGCACTTCCTTGGTTTGTGGGACTGGGTGGCACCCTCTGATTGGGTGGGGCCATGTGATTTCCCAATCAAAGCATTTAATTGCTGACGTAAGACCCCACAACTCCTGCCCTCTGACAGTGTGACTGTTAGACATAGTGACTGCTCTCAATCTGGGTCCCTGAGTGCTCATGAGCAGAGCCCCCCTGCTGGCCCGCAAGGGACATGTAGCTTTGGTAAGAAATCACTTTGTTGTTTTAAGCCACTGAGCTTTGCAACGTAGCCTGGCCTGTCCCTGAAACTCTACCCGTTCTTCCCTGATGAGCCTGCTCAGTCGTCACAGCAACCGGACTCTTCTCTCTCTCGCAAGCCCAGGCTCTCTTTCCCAATGTCTTAAGCAGCCTTAAATGCAATGAAGTGTGTTTCTAGCACCCTCTAGGAAGCAGGCACTGTGTGCTTAGGACACAAAGGTGAGACCTAGGCATCCCTCAGGTCGGGGTTCAGGACAGCACGGTGAACGCTGTGAGATATACACTTCAGTGGGCGGTGAGGCGGGCAGAGGGACGTGGTCAAGGAGGGCTTGCCAGAAGCAAGCACGCTTGACCAGGCTTTGCAGGGAGGGGAGTCAGGCAGAGACTTGGGGTAAAGAATTCCCAAGGTAAGGAATTCTAGGCAGTGGGAAGACATGCAGAGGCACAGAAGCACGAGAAGAGGGTAGCTTGCTCAGGGCACCACACATGGTAAGGCCAGAGAAAGGGGTTGGGGGGAGGTGGGCTGGAGATCAAGTTTTGTCAAGTGTTGCTGGGCGCCTTCTGTGAGGTCACATCCTCCATGTGGACAAAATGCATGCGTGTCTTGCCTGTGGTTGGAGCTGCTGGCCCCGGCTGGGCCGTGCGACCACTGTTTCCTCCGGGCAGGCGCGGAGCCTGTGAGCTCCTGAAGGGAAGAGGACGTCTCTCAGTGGCCTCACCACGTTTTCCTGAGTGGCTCTGAGGAGTTATAGAAACAGAAGCGCAATCCAGAGGTAGGACAAGGACCAGCGGCGGGAAGAGGGGGGTCTTTGATGGCAGCTCTCGGGGAAAAGCTCCCACCTGCCTTCTACACAGGGAGGCTGTGTGCATAGTGGGAAGGGCAGGAGCTTGACCATCACGGAGGCTTGAGTCCTGACTCTACCACTTGCTCAGCGTGACCCTGAGCAAGTCACTCAACCTTTCTCACAGGGTTGGTGTCAAGAGAGTGAGATGGAGTGCCTGTTCCTGGCAGGCCCTGAATAGATACCAGCAGCCTTTCCTGCCCCTGCATGGTGTGAGCCTGTGTCACAGCTGCCTCACCTTCCAGCACCTTAAAGGGTGTGGGGGGGAGGGGTCTAGGGCAGGGACTATGTGGAGGAGATGGGCAGTGTGTACTGGCCATGCTCAGTCATTCGTGAAGGGCCCAGTGATAAGGTCTCAGAGCCCTGCTCCTTGCCCCTTCGCTGGTCAGCTCTGGCCAGGAGCTTTGCATGGGCAGGAGGGACAGACGCTGCAGCCAGACCTGGCCCTACTCCCCCAGACAGTGAGAAGCTGCTGTGGGAGCAGCACAGGCCACTGAAGGAAACTGGCCCCTGTGCCACTAGGCACCGTCTTTCGTGGTATGGAAAAGTGAGTATTTCACTCATTCTCTTTACTCTTCAAACCTCCTACTCACTGTTCCTTCCCACGCTCTCAGCTAAATGCTTTGCCTTAAACTGCACTGAAATAAACCAGCAATCAGAAGGGAACTCCCTCACCTTCTCTCCCCACCTCCACTGCCTGCCTGCCCTCCGGAGATGGGGAAGCGCCTCTTCTCTGGCCCTGGCCGGCCCTTCCACTTGTGCCCTGTAATCGCCCTCTCCGGAACAGTCATTCTTCCCATTCCACTGGGTCCTGCCATCGGAGCAAATGTGCCTCAACCTGCCCATTTCAAAAACAAAACCCCGTGGACCCCTTTTGATGCTCCCCATTCAAAGCGATGCCTGGCTCCCCCGTCCCTTCCTGTAGGCCGCCCAGCCCTCCAACCCGACTCATTTCCCTCTACTGACAGGGCTCCTGTCCAGGTCACCACACAATGATCACTTTGCTTCACTGGCCTCAACTTACCCCATCGGCATGTGACAGCTCATCCCTCCTTGTTGAAACACTTCCTTCTCTTGGTTTCTGTGACACTGGGCTCTCCCAGCCACCTACCTCTGTCACTCAAGGCCCTCTGTCTTCTTTGCCGGCTCCTTCTTCTCTGCTGGATTCCTAATTATTAGGACCTTCTCTTTTTTCCATTTACACATTCTTCCCGGGAATCTCATAGTTTGAATACATCTATAATGTAATAGCTCCTAAATTTGTTTTCAGGTATGGTCTGTCCCCAAAACTCCATATTCCTATGTCCAAGAGGATATTTCCACATTCATGTCTAACAGTCATCTCAACTTTACCAGCCAAGCAGAATTCTTGGTTCACTGTACTAATCCTTCTCCCCATAATGGCCTTTCTTCACTAACCCAGGCACTCACAATCTTACTACACTGTTTCATTTTCAGAGTAACAGTTATTTTGCTTATTTATTTGTTCTCCCCAAAACTAGAAAGAAAGTTCCATTATCTGTTTCTCTTGTTCAATACTGTGTGAGTGCTTGGCACACAGTGAGGCTTAAAGTTTGTTGACTGACCAGTGAATGGGTCTTTGGCCTATGTAATATGCCAGGGTTGCTAACTCCTGAGTAAAAGGGAGCTTCATATACCTATGGATACAAACATTTAGATTAGACAGTCATAAAGACCGTTTCCTAAATTCACACCCACCTGGTCTCCTTTCTGGGTCCTGTCTGGATGGAATGGGCCTGTGTTTCAGCTGTGTTCAGCGTCACTAGTTTCCATCAAGCTTCCATCAGAATATATGAAATGAATTAAGAGGAGCCAAAAAGAATAGCCCACCTTTGCCTTAGGACTCTCTGAAAAGGCCCTTTGGTCCTCTGCTCACAGCTTAAGGACTGGCTGCATCTCATAGCTCGTCACCTACACTCAGGAGTGAGAACTTGTCCACAGCACATGGTGGCCAAACAGTCTCAGCTTTGCCTTACCGAAGACCAGAGGGCCAGCAGGAGACGCACAAGCTGTAGCTCTACCACTAAGGTGAGGGAAGGGGAGAGATGACAGGGTGGAAGGGCGTGAGAGCTGAAATATAAAAATACAATATACTAATAATCCATGGAGATGCCAGTAGAGGAGGTAGTGTCTGGTCTAGCGCTGGGGGTGAGGCCTTGTGCTCCCATGAATACTGGGCACCCCCTTAGACGTGAGAGACCTGATCCAGCCCCAGGGCTTCTGGTATTAGAATAGGCCCTCTAAAAATAAGTGTGGGCCCTAGGGGCTCCAGGGTGTATATTAAGTTGTTACCTTTGAATAACTGCACCTCGAGCTTATGGTCTGCTAGGATCAAAATCTAAAGGAGAGAAAGCATTTCCTGTACACCCCACACGCCACATACTCAACACCAACAGCACAAGCACGCTGGGCAGCTCTTCTCCCAGAGGCAGGGGGCTGCAGAGGGCAGAATGACTCAGGGCTTTAGTTGTGGAAGAAATAAAACCTTCAGTCACCCTTGGTTATGGCTCGCAAAGCTTCCAAGTGGGAAATCTGACCAGAGATAGAACCCAGAACAGTCCTCCCTGAAAACAGAGGAGGTGGATTCTGCGGAGGAAGTGGTTCTCATGGCAACAGACTGCCCAATGGTAAGCTGGAAGACCTTCTACACAAGCTCGTAGGTTCCACACGGGCTATACGGAAATGCGGGAGAAAAAAATCCACATTCTAATGCGCCTGCGCTGTGCCTTGCTGGGGTAAGGGAGAGAAGGTAGTTGGCTCCTCACTTCTGTTGCCAGGCAGGGCTCCCTTACCATGGATGAATCCTGGACTGGAGATTTCAGGGAGGGGAAGAGGGACAGGAACTGCAGCATCGAAACCTAAAAACGTATTTTATTTCGAAGTTGTGCTTTGGATTTTCCCCAATCCAACATCTGTTGAGTGACAGTCTTAGGTTCACACAAAGCATCTCCAAGCATACATACGATATTCCAGTTATCAACACTATCTTAAAGAATATACCATTTTACACAAACATGACATACAAGTCAGACGCCACAACACTGCCATTCCCTG